CCTGGTGTATTCATGGAGTATATGAATAGGATTTTTCATTCTTATTTGGATCAGTTTGTGGTAGTGTTCATCGATGATATCTTGATATATTCTAAGTCCGAGGAAGAGCATGCGCAACATCTAAGAGTGGTATTGCAAGTTTTGAGAAACAAGAAGCTTTATGCCAAGTTGTACAAGTGTGAGTTTTGGTTTAAGGAAGTGAATTTCCTTGGCCATGTGATTTCTAGTAGAGGAATTGTTGTTGATCCGTCGAAAGTTGATGCTCTGTTACAGTAGGAGACTCCAAAGACTGCTAATAAGATTCGAAGTTTCCTTGGATTGGCTGGTTATTATCGCAGGTTTATAGAAAGCTTTTCAAAGTTGGCACTGTCATTGACTCAGTTGACTCGAAAGGGTCAAGCTTATGTGTGGGATGTTGCTTATGAGAAGAGTTTTGTAGAACTCAAGAAGAAGTTGACGACTGCTCCAGTGTTGATTTTGCCAAATTTGAGTGAGTCTTTTGTAGTGTATTGTGATGCACCGAAGATGGGTCTTGGAGGCGTATTGATGCAGAACGGTCAGGTCGTTGCTTATGCTTCCAGACAACTGAAGGTTCATGAAAGGAATTATCTTATGCATGACTTAGAGTTGGCTGATGTGGTGTTTGTGTTGAAAATTTGGAGACATTATCTTATTGGGTCTAGGTTCGAAGTGTTTAGCGATCACAAGAGCCTGAAGTATTTATTTGATCAGAAAGAGTTGAACATGAGGCAGAGAAGATGGCTTGAACTTCTGAAGGATTATGATTTTGTATTGAGTTACTATCCTACTAAGGCTAATGTTGTGGCTAATGCGTTAAGCAGGAAGTCTTTACATATGTCGATGCTTATGGTTCGAGAGCTAGAACTGATTGAGCAATTCAAAGATAAGAGTTTGGTTTATGAAGAGACTCCTAACAGTGTGAAGTTGGGTATGTTGAAGTTGACTAGTGATATTCTCCAAGAAATCAGAGAAGGTCAGAAATCTGATTTGAGACTGGTGGATCGTCTCGCGTTGATCAATCAAGGTAACAGGGGTGATTATCGAATCGATGAGAATGGTGTGATGAGGTTCAGAGATAGAGTGTGTGTTCCCAAGGTGCCAGAAATCAAGAAGAGAATTCTTGAGGAAGGTCACAGAAGCGGGCTAAGTATTCATCCTGGTGCCACAAAGATGTATCAAGATTTGAAGAAATTGTTTTGGTGGCCGAGTATGAAGAAGGAAATTGTAAAGTTTGTGTATGCTTGTTTGAATTTTCAGAAGTCGAAGATTGAACATCATAGACCGTCGGGTCTGATGCAACCGTTGAATATTCCAGAATGGAAATGGGATAGCATTTCTATGGATTTTGTGACCGGTTTTCCAAATACTTTTAAGGGGTATGATTCGATTTGGGTGATTGTTGATAGATTGACCAAATTGGCTCATTTTATACTGATTAATATCAATTATTCGTTGCAGAAGCTTGCCGAAGTATATATCGAGCAGATTGTGAAACTACATGGTATTCCTTCGAGTATTGTGTCAGATAGAGATCCGAGATTTACATCGAGGTTCTGGGAAAGTTTGCAGACAGCTTTGGGTACTAAGTTGAGGTTGAGTTCTGCCTATCACCCACAGACAGATGGACAGACAGAGAGAACTATCCAGTCTTTAGAGGATTTGCTGAGAGCTTGTGTGTTGGATCAAGGTGGATCATGGGATAGTCATTTTCCGTTGATTAAGTTTACCTACAATAACAGTTATCATTCTAGTATCGGAATGGCACCGTATGAAGCTTTGTATGGTAGGAGGTGTAGGACTCATTTTTATTGGTATGAGTCGGGCGAGAGTGTTGTACTCGGACCTGAGATTGTGCAAGAGACGACTGAAAAGATCAAGATGATGCAAGAAAAGATGAAAGCATCGCAGAGTCGTCAAAAAAGTTACCATGATAAGAGGAGGAAAGCACTTGAATTCCAAGAGGGAGATCACGTGTTTTTGAGAGTTACGCCGGTAACTGGTGTTGGCCGAGCTTTGAAGTCTCGAAAGCTCACATCACGTTTTGTTGGTCCATATCAGATTTCATAGAGGGTGGGGAAAGTAGCATATCAGATTGCTTTGCCGTCGTCGCTTGCAAATTTGCATGATGTGTTTCACGTGTCTTAGTTGAGGAAGTAAATTCCAGATCCGTCGCATGTGATTCAGATGGATGATGTACAAGTGAGAGATGACTTGACTGTTGAGGTGTTTCCTGTTCAAATTGATGAACGAGAAGTGAAGCAACTTCGAGGTAAGGAGATTGCCTTAGTGAAGGTAGTTTGGGGAGGACCAGCTGGAGAAAGTTGGACTTGGGAGCGTGAAGATCAGATGAGGGAGTCGTATCCGACTCTGTTTTCTTGAGGTAATTTTCGAGGGCGAAAATTCTTTTAAGTGGGGGAGAGTTGTAACACCCCAAATTTAATTGGAATATTTAAATTAATTTATTTAATTGAGAATATTCGTATTTTGGTGATTTCGGTGGTTTTGTGAAATATTGGGAATTAATGGAATTTGGGTTATTTATTTTGAATGATAGTATATAATATGAATATATTAATATTATTATGAATTAAGATAAATATAAGTTGGATAAGAGAAATTTGGACAATTAAGAGGAGTTAGTGAGGGTATTATGAGAAAAACCCAATTGTGAGGCCCAAGACTAGGTTTAACAAAAAGGAAATTATAAAGGGATTAGGATTCACTTGTTAGACCGTGAAGAGAATTGAGGCCAGAGCTCTGAGGAGGGAGAATTAGAGATAAATGTTTCGAAAGGTTTCCTAAAAATTTTACGAAGGCTTTGATCGACAATTAAGGTATGGGGAGTATTACCTTCATGGTTTTTCATGTGTAAATTCAATGTATTTAAGGTCGATTTAAGGGTTTAAGGATGGATATGAGAAAAAGGGATTTTGGCCTTCGTGGCCTAAATCTATTATTTGTGAATCTAACTGTGGGAATTCATTGGTGTAACAAGGAAAGTAGGCCTCTGTGGCCAAAACTCTGATTTGACATTGTCTAACCCTGAAGGGATAAGAATATTAGATAGTAAGTAATTCTAATGAGTATGAGAAATTGTAGGGAAAATTGCGATTTAGGGCGTGAATATGATACGGGATTGGCCTAATGAATCGTAGGTTTTGTGCCTTTATCGCCGTAAGACCTTAGGGATGATTTATGGATATTTTGGGGGCATTGGGAAAGTGAATCGTGGGTTTTTTTGGATGATTTTAGGTTTTGGTGCGTAGCAGAGTTTGCTGTCATCGCGCTGTTCACCTAGCGAATAATGCTTCACACAACGAACAATTTAGTCCCAGACTCACCTAGCGAAGAATCCTTCGCACAACGAAGAACTCGCCCCAGACTCGCCTAGAGAACTTGCTAGCGAACGTAGCAGAGTTTCGTGAATGTTGATTTTGTGCAGCGATGTCTTGATGTTTTGATGTTGTGATTTCTCTGATGGATTAACATTATTATGACTGTGATTTCTATGTGATGTGTACATGATTATATGATGATTCCTATGATGTATTGATTGATGAACTATGATGATGTTTCATGAGTTTTGATGAATTATGATGATATGATGTTTGATGATGATGATTATAATGTTATGATGTTTGATGATGATGATATTGATGAATGATGATGCACCAATGGTGTTATTATGAGGATGATTATTTTGACGTGTGCATCGTGCATTCATGTGCATCCGGACTTCGGTTCAGGACCTTGATTACTTTGGCTTCAATCCCATTGTGTGGATGTGAAGTATTTTGATGTGCTCCGGTTCTCAAGTAGAATTGATCCTATTGATGGGGATCTATGGAGGGTTGATGGACTAGTGTCCATCGAGCTGTGATGATTGATACCACATGCATTGAGTCTTGCTACATTTGCATTTATGAGATGATTTTGAGTAAATTATGATGTTATGGCTTTGATGTCCATTGATGAATATAATGATGTTGAACATGATAATGACGCCATTTTATATGTTGATTTTCTACATTGATTATTATGAATCGTTTTACTCACCCTGCCTGTTTGAATGTTGCCTCCTCGTGGGTAATGTGCAGATGACCAGGTTTAACCGTGGACGCCACTGAGGACGTTGGGAGTTCTTGAGTTGTTGGCCTTTTGGTTAACTTAGAGGGTCTTGCTCTGATAGTGTAACATCGGGTTGGGGTCTTTGAGTTGAACCATGCTTTTATTTGAGTTATTTTGATTATCTTTCCGTATAAGAAAAACTTTGGATTATGCCTTTGAGTTCCGCTGCCTTTGTGCAATTTTTTATGCCTTTTGGAAAAAACCGTTGTTTACGGAGCCTTGACTTATTTTGAGGATTTAGGTAATGTACACCCTTTTGCGGTGACTTTTATTGAATTTAATAATTTATTCTGATATATGTGAATAAATGTGTCTTTTAATTGTGGGGTAGAAAATGACATTACAACGCAGATGCACACACAATTAAACTGCACTTTAAATTTAGATATGGTTAGATTCTCAAATTTAATTTTTTAAGTATAATTTTACTCATGATAAAAATTTATCATTTCTAAATTGATAAATTTTATATAAATTTATATTGTTTATTCTTCACCAAATATTCAATTGTACTCCTTAGTTTTTTTATCTTCAATACACTGTGGTTTGTTTTAAATTTCAAATTTTGATAAATGTGATTATTTTTCCTTTTTTATTACATCATTCAAAAAGTTTACTATTAAAAAGTACATATTTTTGTATGTGTACTTAATTCCTTACACAGAACATTTTATACTTAAGAATCCTCTTTTCTCTCTTCTTCTTCATCTACACATACACCACAAACTTCTTTCTTTCATTTTTCTCTCTCCTCTTTCTCTCTCTAAGACAAAAAAACCCATACACCACATACTTCTTTCTTTCATTTTTCTCTCTCCTCTTTCTCTCTCTAAGACAAAAACATACCAAGTATGGGTAAGGAATGGAATTGGGTTGGGAAATCATCCAAAAGAAGTGTTATAGTTGAAGAAAATCATGAAACAGCACCTAGTGGATGCATGTGTGCTGTTTTTCAGTTCTTTGATTTTCATCATTTGTCTAACTCAATAAATCATCAACAACAAATCACTTTCAAATCACCTTCTTCTACTTTAGTCACAAAAGGTATATTAATAATGTTTTATATTTAATGTTTAATTACTTTTTTTGTTTCTTTATTTGTCTTTTTCTCTGTTATTTGTTAATGTTGTTGTACAGTTTCAGGTGGTGAAGCTTCTAGGAATAGCTTGGAATCTGAGGATAGCCTTGTTTCAGCTTCTCTATCAAAAGAAGAAAATTTTAAAATTCCAGTAAGTATATTAATTAATTTCAACTCTTTAATATCTTCATATATTACTGTATAAAGTAAATATTCTACTATTTTCACATATATTTATAAGAAATTTAAGCGTTGTATGAAATATATTTTGTTTATTTTTTTTATAAATATTTTCATTTTTTTAAAATTTATATTTATTTTAATTGTTTAGTAAGGAGATGAAGATGTAACGAAGATATGTAATATATATAGAAATGAAAGACAAGTTAAAGAAAATGAAATTTTAAAAATAAATAAAAAATAGTGTTTTTGACCTTTTTAAAATTTCAATATAATTTAGGTCAATTTTTTATATGTAAAATATTCTTATAATTTTTTATTATTTTTAATTTTGAAACATAATACAGTTTTAATCCTTTTAGTTTTACTCATTTGCAAAAAGTTTATGCTCTCATTTTAAATTTGATCCTTCCTCTTATTTTTAAAGTAAATTTAATGACATACTAATATATATTTTAAATAACTTGACTTATGATTGGATTAAATGATGTTTAATAAATAATATTCATGAGTTTTCTGGAAGTATTTTTAAAATTTTTTTTTTTTCAAATTTAATTAAGGAAATTGGAATAAGTTATTTATTTTAATTATTCAATATAATTAAATCTTATATATTTTTATTTAAAATACATCACAATAGTTAAAACATAAGTTATTTATTTTAATGATTCTATATAAAAAATAACTATATATTTATATAAATTCTGTAATTTTTTCAAAAAAATAATTTAAAATTTTAATTCATTATTTCAAATCACACCCTGTTGAGTTCTACTTGAGTTTGAGTTTGTTTATTCTGTAAAGCGAGTAATGATGATGTACTATTATATAAAGTAATGATAATGATTTTGAACTTGACCCTTTATTAATTTTTATTGTTTTTTTTTTAAATACAAAAGAATATACAAATCAAAACAAAAAGGAGCAATGGTGGAATATTGACTCATTTGTCCTCAGAAATCAGCACTTCATCATCACCAGGAACAAAGACACCAACTTTGGTAGCAAGATTAATGGGTTTAGATATTCTTCCAAATTCAAATTCACCCTCTTTTTCTTCACCTCTTTCAACATTAAATTCACAAAGCAAGAACAATATTATTCAACATCTTCACCAAATTAGAACCAAACCAAGGAAAAGTATTGATAGTAGTGAGATTACAAGAATGCCCTCATCTACAAAATCAGATTTTGATCAACATAGGCTCTCTCTTCAAATCAACAAAGAGAATAGCTTTGGTGATGAAGATTTTGAGCTGCCTAGATTATCATTTTCAAAGAGGAAAGTTGATGAGAATAGTTCTAAAAGTTCAAGTCAATATGCTAAGCAAATTGTGAAACAGGTTAAGGAAAGTGTTGTGAGTAGAAAAGTTGGTCAAGACATTACCAACAATATCAAAAGCATTCAGGTGAACACTAACAATTTTACATATTCATATATAACGCATCTCTAATAAGGATTGTCATAGTTATATTTCTGTCAAAAATCAAATTGAACTGAATAAAATTATTAAAAAAAAGTTATTTGAATTGAATTATTTGAATTTATCCAATAACGGACCAAATTAAAATTATTGATTTGATATATTGATTTAAAAATTTGAACTGTATTAAATAATTAGAAAATATTTTTTTCTAAATCGAATATATTTTTTTTATGAATTAAAAAAAAATTGAATTTGTTTATAACATTTTTTTTGGTTTTAGTTTTTGTTTGGCTTTTTTACCCTTTAGTTTTATTTTAAAAGTGTTTATATAATATGATTCAATTTATTAATTAAATATAAAAATTCAGTTATTTTAACATCAATTTAATCCGTCTTTTTAAACAATTCTTCTTATAGGGAATTAGTAGTGAATTTTAATTTGAACTAATTTTATTTTTAGGATATCAATATCAAGCAAAACACTAAAGTAACCAAGAAGTTACCAAGCAATGATCAATTACAAGGAAGAGAAGAGTTTCTAGGACAATTAAGAGTCAAGAAATGTCCTAAAACAACATCATTGAAAGATTCAAACACTAATTCATCAAATTCACCAAGGACTAGATTCATTGACAACAAGGACAAGTCAAACACATCAATAAAAACAAGATCAAAAGATCAAAACACAAAACCAAAGGTGTATGCGTTGAAACAAGAGCAAGAATCAAAAGACAAGAAACTAGCCTCATCAAATTGTAAGAAAGCTACAAATGAAAAGTTTAGTTCCAGATTCAAAAGGCCTCCACAAACATCGGATATAATTGTTCGGCCAACATCGAGTTCTCGAGCAAATGACATCAAAAGTAATACCAAATGCAAGAAAGTTCAACCATTGTCAAGCAATCTCATCAACATCATCAATGCTGTTTCAAATGTTGATTCTGTTAAGACAGAACCTTCTCATCTGTCAAACAAAATCCCTCGGAAACAGGTACCGATTTCGGGACATTAAAATTTATATTGTATTCATGAAATATTCTTATTGTTTTTACACTAAAAATCAAAAACAGTGGCAGGAATCTGAAACTCAAGACTCCAAACTCCAAAGCTACAAACCAGAATTTCAGTACATTGCAGAAATCTTAAACAAACATGTCACAACAACAAAAACAATGTCTTTTAACAGAATGTTCTCTTCAACACACTCACTTGACCCATCAATCTTCAACCTTCTCGAACAAAATTCTGACGATAAAGATCAAAGCTTTGCCACAAAAAACCAACTGGGTCAACGTTGGAATCGAAAACTGATGTTTGATTTGGTGGATGAAGTTCTAATGGATATTTTGAAACCAAACAGTAGTGAAAAAAAGCTATACTTTTTAGATGGATTTTGCGAAAAGTGGACAGTTATGGAGTTAACAGAGAAAGTTTGGAAAAGGGTTAGGGAATTTCCATGTGCAAAGTGTGAAGTTTTGGATGATATTGATAATTTGATTGAGTCAGAAGATATGGAGAAAGTGATCAAGGTTGAAGGTGAAGATGAAAGAAAAGGGTTGGTGAGAGAGATTGAAGGGAACATATTGAACACATTGGTGCATGAAACTATTTTGGTTATGAGTATGATTGAATGAAATGCCATTTTAGTTTTCGAGTTTATGAAATTTTAAACTCATATCTCAAATGTAGGATTCTTATACAATTGTCACTTGTATTAGATACAAAGTAGTAAGTTATACTAGTTATTATATTGGATAATCGTTTTTTATTAGCTATATACTCCCTCTTAGAATAAAAAATTATCGTAAAATAAATCATCCATTTCAACTTTTAATGTATTTTTTTATTTTATATTTTAATTAATATTATTTTTTATTATTTTTAATATTTGATAAGAGATACTTTAATAAAAATATTATTTTTTTATTTTTTATTTATTCATTTTTATTAATTTGTCTTAAATAGTCAATTAGATCATTTATTATGGGACGGATGGTGTAACTCTTATGTATCTCATGGATGAAGATCAATGATTTTAATGTTAATGTAATTTTAATGTTAATGTTAACTTTTCTCCGTTTTTTTTATCAATGATTTAGAATTGTGACGGTCTAAGTATATTTACTAAAAACAAAAATGAAAATTATTTACTTAAGAAATAATTTTTCTGAATTCATACTAGAGAAAAGAATTTATTAAAATTTATTTGGTACTGGAATAAATAATCGGTTATATCTTGATGAAGACATCCGTGTATATGCTTTCGATGAGGTGATGAGAGTTCTCTTGTGATCGAAAAATAGTATTTAGAAAAACATTAGTCTTTGAAAGCCAACGAAAATATTAGTCTTTGAAAGCCAGTATGAGATTAAGGTTGAACTTTGCAAGTATAAGTTAAATCGTACTTATGTGTATAGTATGAGAAGTTACAATCGTCTCTGGGTTGTCTGACATTGTATGTGACTGATGGATGAAGATCAATGACTCTAAAGGAGTGAGAGACATGCACTTGTTCGACACTATATGGTGTACATGGTTGTCGTACCTCGAAAAATACAATCCTCGCGATTGACGCAGAAAAAACGTTCGAACAGAGTCGCCACCGAACTTTATTCATTCCAAGGAAGAAATATGAAAATATCGATAAAACCTTTAAAGAATAAGAAAATGGTCATCGCAACCAAATTCTAGGTTTGGGAGTCGATTAGCAAGAGGGAAGGTGTTAGCACCCTCTACGTCCGTTATACTCAATGAGAACCTCTTGATTCGATTCGTGAGAAAATTTAGCTAGGTTTGTTTGTTTTCTTTTGAGGGATTCGATTATAAGGGGAAAATGGGTGGTTTTATTAGTGTGCTTGCTTTTCGCGGTGTAGAGGTGGCGTAGAAGAAGATAACACGAGTTGAAGCTCTAAGTTATGTTGATGGGAGGTGGAAGGTTTGTCAAATGGATTTTGAAGGATAATTGGTAGGCCTTGTAATGGAGTTGAGACATTGAAATTTGCGTCACTTGATGGACTTGTGCTTGAAGCTGCTCCAGAAGAACATGCAAGTTGCATTGTTGTTGCTTGAAACTCTGGTTTTTGGTTCTTACCTCTCACATTGTATGCATCTTGATGTTCTATGAAACTCTCCGCCTTTTTTTTTATACTTTTCTTACAATCCCATTGTTTGTGATTACTATGTTTTCTTCTAAAATGTTTCTTTTTTTATACAAACAAGGTCACCTAAAGCATGACAAGGAGCATGGTGCAAAAAACTTGGTTCTGGACAAACAAGAAGATTCTGGTCTCCTTAAAAAGCTTGGCTGCAGATCTCACATACATATCTATCAGTTTCTAACAATGTTTTTGGTGAAAGAGACACAACTTCAGTATCTGGATCTGGTGTGCATGCCAGTCTTGTTTCCCAAAGCCTCTTGACCATACATTGCAATGTAGCTTAGGGCATAACCTCATGATTTATGTGGCGGACCTTTCTTGTTTAATCATGTAGGTAACAATTGGAGCATGAAAGATGATGGTGAACTCTTTTGCGCATGAAGAAGAGATCAATGGACACTTTGAAGCTTGGAGTAAAACCTTGAGTCTTTTGTCATGAGGAGTGGAATTTTGCTTGAAGAAACAATCAGTGGTTGCGGCTCTTTAGGTTTTGTGTTTAATCAAACATGTAATTCAACCTTTTAGGCTTTTGAACTCTTGATTTGGAGTTTTTGTAATTGTTTTATGGTCAATTGTAGCACTATTCGAACCCTTGAACATTGTAACGCTTGCAACAAAACTTGTCATTCAAGCATGAAGTGTTTTACAAACATTGTAACCCTTGAACATTATAACACTTGCAACAAAACTTGTTACTCAATTGTACCATCTGTTAAATGAGAAGAAAATGAAACATAAGCTAAGGTCAAGGGAAAGTCTGGCCTGAACAAGACTTGGCTAGCTACTAAACATGGGTGATATGAACACCTGGGGTCTAATATACAACGTAGCTTCTTGATAGAAATAGTCCAAGGAAAAACCTAAATCAAACCATATTGTTACTATACTTCCACCAAATCTAATATGTGTGATATTGAGGTACCACTAGAGCCCTGTGGTAGTAGAATTTCATGATGACATCTTGATGTGAATGAGACCACAATGTGGACTCTCAATGAAAGCTAGAATAAAGATCTTATGTAAGTGATTCTTTGGAAAAAAAATGAATCAAAGGAGATTTATATCTTCCATCTCATGATCAAATCTCCCACCGAGTGTTCCAGTAGCAAGAATGTATAATTCTAATTTATTAGTATTTGGTTCAAGGTGCATATAAATCAAACACTTATGTCCTGATTGAATCCATGTCTCATTTTATTGCATCGGGCTTCAAACTTCTAATAATCCAACCCCCGATTTCTCGATAACTTGTATCGAAAGCAGACAAACAAACTTTGGTCGCAGCTTCACCTTTTGTGATATGATTTGTTCTTTGCAAACCACACCTCAAAACCTTTATCTCACCTTTCTTTACTTGATGATCTTAGCACAAGAACCATGCCTTGAGGAATCCTTAACCAGACTTTAATCAATGAACAAGCTCAAGTACTGATGAAAGGGCAACCCTCATTCTTCTTGAGACATACACAGAGGTCTTTGAGTCATCTTGAAGAAATTGAACTTGATACTCGATGAACCTCGATAAGAGGATGCTTGTGATAACAATCCAAAACCTAAATCTTAAATCCATGAAAAGACCAGTTGAATTAATCTTCAATGACACAAAAACCTCAACCCAATAGAAAACCATGATTCTTCAGAAGGCCTTGATCCCTTGCCTTAGGATTTTATGCAAATGAATGATTGTGAGTATATGACCTAGTGGATAAATGCATATGTACGAGACAACAACCAATTAGGGTTAGAAAGAGTGAGGGAAAACTTTGGGGTATAATAATAAGCCTTAGCCAAACTGAAATAACATTTGTTTGTTGTAAGAAACCACATGTTGTAGCACACATGTTGGAACATCGTGTTCCACATTTGTCCCTTCTGTACCAAAAAACTTTAAGAACTTCCATTTTGTTGTGCATAATACAGCCAATCCAAAGGAACAACAACTTGAGTATTATATTTATGACTGTAGAAGGAAAAATGATTGAAACAACCAACATAACCCTTGATGATGGGCAAAGTATCCATCATCTTTTGAGAAAGATCTGATTGTTAAAATAAAGGTCCAACTTCTCCCGACCATAGTGTCGTACCTCGAAAAATACGATCCTTGCAATGGACGTGGAAAAAACGTTCGAACAGAGTCGCCATCGAACTTTATTTATTCCAAGGAAGGAATAGGAAAATATCGATGAAACCTTTAAAAAGATAAGAACATGGTCATCACAACCAAATTCTAGGTTCGGGAGTTGATTACGCAGAGGGAAGATATTAGCACCCTCTACGTCCGTTGTACTCAACAGGAACCTCTTGATTCGATTTGTGAGAGAAGTTAGCTAGGTTTGTTTATCTTCTAAAGGATTTTCTTTCTAAGGGGAAAATGGATGGTTTTATATTAGGTTACTCGCCAAGGATTGGGGCCCTTGTGCCTACATACTCCCTTGTGCAATGGGAAAGTCAGAGCATCATAGTTCGTGGGACTACGGGAAAAAGAAGGAATTGTGGAATTGTGCTCGCCAAGCTCATCACAATTTTGTGCCTACATATCTTACATTCAGAAGAGAATGAAGAATCAGAGCGTCCGTAGTTCGAACAACTACGGTAAAAGGCTTGTAAACGAACGAGTGTTTAGATCGTATTCTAACTACTAAACGTTGACTTGTCTGCTCGCTAGATGAGACTGAAGCACGAGTTTATTATACACAGAAGAAGGGACTAAACAATGTCCTTTGGAAAAAGTGTATGAGTTGTGGATTGCACAGGGGCGAGGAATTAGTGTTTGAGAAGTTTCAATCACACGGGGGCGAGAAAACGAGAATTTGATGTATCGGATGCTTATGTTTGGAGAATAGAATAGATTTGAATAGGTATTAGGGTTCCGATTGCACGGGGCGAGAAAGAGAGTTCAATGTATCAGATGCTTAGTGTTAGTACCATGGTTCTATGGTTCTAGGATTGACTAAATTTTGGTAAAACATGATTCTACACTGATGTTAAGCCAGATATCACGACATCTTCATCAGCTGTTATGATAGTACTGCTGTACTGTGTTTAAACAGGATGTCATTACCAATGTCATGACATCGTTGTCTGGTGCAGCAGGAACCAGCAAGAGCTGATGACAGAACTGCTGTCATGTGTTGTAAACAGGATGTCATTACCAATATCATGACATCTGGTGCAGCAGGAGCTAGCAACAGCAGATGACATAACTGATGTCATGGATGTAGAAGGAGCTAGCAGGAGCTGATGATAGAACTGCTGTCATGGATGTCATACTGAATGACATGACATCAATGTCTGGTACATCAGGGGCTGCTATGGTATATCTCCTGACATAAGTGTTTTGGTCCTGTTGGATATTCCTCATCAGTATGTACAGGCCAAAGTAATTTATAGGAACAAAGTGCAGATTTAATTAGTGTTCATAAAAAGGATCTTTGAGACTTTTAGGAAACTATAATATGCTTGTTTCTACTGTC